ACTTTTGTAAACTTGTATTTTATTAGAGTTGATGAACTGAGAATGGGCAAAGCGGGCAGTGACCAAGACAAGGCAAAGAAGGGACTTCTTACTAATGTTAGCACCCATGATGACCACAAGCTTGTCTTTCTAGCATTAGGCAATGGTGATGGGATAGTAGAGTTCATATGAGGCCATCATGGGTGGTGGTGGCTACAATGATGGAGGCGAAATAGTGAGGAATGGAGGTGGGTGAAGGAGTACTAAAATAACGGGTGGGTGATTTTCATATGAGGATGCAAAAAGGGCAAAGTGGTGGTAGTCTTTGTTGAGTTATGCTTAAACATATACGAAATATAAGATATTAATTTCCATTTTGTTTTGCTGCGTGTGATGATTGAAGTAGCAACCTTATTTTGAATTTTGACAAGGTTCTTCAAAACAAAGTGAAAGAAATAAGGGTAATAAAATGGGCAACTAAAACTATCTACTAAGTATTTGTAAAAGTGTCTTAATGGGAGTGATTAACATCAAATCAATTTAAAATTCATAGCTTGTTTAATTTACCAAATTGTGTAATTTAATAAAGTACTTAAAATACATATATTTGAATTACATGTATTTCAAATACATTTGTTTAAATTACACTCATTAAATTCAAATTCAAATTCCCAAATGCAACCTTAACAGATTTAATGATGGCCATATCCATCGCCCTCATTAAAGCACAAAAGATTTTGGTCTCTTGAATGAAAAAATGTTTTTGAACACCAAGGACTAGATTGTGTCTTATCATGAAGTATTGTTCATTTTGATCCTCTAGACTCATAATTTTATCCCTAAAGATCTCTCATGAATGAATCGGTTGGCTGCTAATTAGAAGTTACAACTATCTTTAATTTGGGAACCTATTTTATAGTTAGAATTATATTAAATTATAAAATAAGAATCATAAGATAAAAGAAAAATTTTAATGGAGCCCAACTCATTTAATAATTCATGTAATGCTATTTGGAATGTCCTACACTTTTTTGCTTTATTTTACCTCTTATCTAATAACTTAAATTTTTAACTAACAATTTATTTGTTTGAGTGAAAAAAATTCAGTTTTTTTTAAATAAAATTCAAAGTGTAAATCTTATAAATGAAAAAATAAATTTTAAGAAAGTTTCTTCCTTGTAAGTCTGATACATTTTCATGTATCGAAAAGTTAATAAAAAAAAAGAAGCCTTAAACTTAAACTTTTAAGTGGAGAAATAATTAACTTAGAATATGAACACCGAGCAGTTTAAGTGGGGAATAAATCAACTTGGTTTATGAAAACCGAGAAACTAAGCCGGCCATGAAGACGAGGGGATATAATTTTTCATTTGTTGATAATCGAGGCAGGCTTTTAACTATACCCATGAGTTCAAATGAAAAGACAGTAGTCCAATCAACAAAAGGAAAATTCCAAAGATAATATAAGGTGGGACGCATCTGAATAAAAAATCTCCCTTTCAGTGAAGTCATTAACAGAAATTCCAGGTTCCTGATGAGCCGGTGTTTTTCCATCGACTTTTCTTCCATTTCACATTCCAATTCAGAGTTTTTCCACATAGATTAGTCTTCTTTTACTAGTTGCAACAAATCAATCACTTCATCTTCATTTTGCTGTTTGTTTTGGGGTTCGGAGGTGCTTAGTTCACAGGTGACATAATTGAGAGAGAAAAAAACGATGCCTAACTTTCTTGGTCTAAGTCTCCTACTAATTCTCTCGACGAAAAATAAAATAAAAATTATAGGCACATCTTAAGTCATTAGTAGGAAAGATAAGCATATTCCAAGACAACATATCTTTTCCTGCCGGGAATCCCACGGAGTCTGGTATCTTCTTGATGTTTTCACTTCCTATTTGCTCTTCCTTTCCAATTGGAATCCCAGAGTAAAGTTTGATTTGAAGAATAATGCAAAATTTTCTCAATCCAAGTAGACAAATCAATATATGTACTCAAAGTTGGCAAAAAAAAAAAAAAAAGGAACATATTGGACCATATAAAATTCATTCAATCAAGCATGCACTCCGAGAGCTTAGAAGAATTTGTTATGAAAATCTGATGTTGGAATCCTATTTTACAATTTGATGTTGAATAGAAGGAGTGTCTACCGAACGAGAAAACATGCAGAAATTAAAGGCTCATTAGTTCATAAAATTTACCATATTTTATATATGATACTTTTAGAAAATAAATAATTAAATATCAAAATAATTTTTAATTATAACTGTAATATAATCACAATTACAACACAACACAGTTCAATTGAGTCAGAACTACAACTATAATTACAGTACTTCACAACAATCTCAAATATACTGTAAATAGGTAGTTTAATTGATTAAAAGTCTAAAATTTTAAGTTAAATATTTTAAATTTAAATATTTAATCAAGTGATAAAAAAATTTAGAAAAAATTATAAGCCTTATTTTATAACTATTATAAAATGTATAAATAAAAAAAAATCAATTCATAATCCAGCACATCAGTTATCAGTCCCTCCGTTGGCAACAATTTTCTACATGGAAATTCCAACCTAGGCTCTATATGGACGTACAAGCATGAAAAGATATGCCGGACAGACCTTGGTGGGATACAATGACTACTTGCAACCAAATCCTTTTGGAACTGTTAAAGCTGCCAGACATTGCCATCATAATTCATAGAAAAGCTAAAGCACACCCTAGAAGCATTTGTCCCAAATGAAAACTAGTTTCGTGGTGAAATCTGGAAAACTCTTCCACGGCAATTCTTCAGAAATTTCTCGGATAGTTCACTAGATTAAATAGTTTATTGTAATATAGTAAAGGCCACATCAGTCTAATTCAAGAATCAGTGACTGATATGGAAAACTAGTTTCGGGGTTAAATTTGGAAAACTATTCCATGGCAATTCTTCCGTAGTTTCTCGGATAGTTCAGTAGATTGAAGATGTTCATATTTGGGTTAACTTGTAAAAATTTTTATTATTATTTTTTTGTATTATTTATGAATGATAAGTTTAAATTTTTATTGAAGAAAAAATTTAAAAATTATTTTTAAAAATAAAAAAAGTGAGAAAAAATAAATTAAAAAATTATGAAATAAATTTAAAATTTTTAAACTTTTATTGTTTGACATCTTTTTAAAGTTAAAAAAATTAAAAATATATAAATTTTTTTTTAAAATTTTAAACTTATAAAATATAAATAATATTAAAAAATTAAAACACTTAAAAAGTGAACCAAACATATTATAATGCCACATCAATCTAATTCAAGAATCCGTGACTGATGTAGTGAGAAATAACCTCTCCCACGAATTGAAGAGGTTGCAAACTCACTATCAACCATGTGATCCAGTGGAAAGTTATTTGTACTATTAACAATAAGTTTAGGATTCAAACTCGTCTGGATGCAAACTTTGAAAACTCTAGGACAAACTATATAAATAGTCACTCACTTTTATCATAATTTTAATTTAGTCACTCTCTTTTTAGATTTGTAAATATAATCATTAAACTTTGATTTTACTTGCTACCATTTATCACTAACCCGTTACTTCCTAATTTCGCTTAAATTTATTGATGGTGTGGCATGAATCAAGAAAAAAGTGTTGACATGTCACCTACATGGAAAACAAATGTTAGGCCAAAAAATTTTTAGGAGCCAACAGAAAAAAAAGAAAAAAAAAGTATAGACCTTACAAAGTATACCTAATATGTATTATTTCTTTATTTATCTCTCAATAGATTATTCCCTCTTTTCAATTTTAATAAATTTTGATTTTAATTTGAGACATTTATATTTAGATTTCATTTAGTATGATTGTGATTTTGAGGTTTTAGTTTTGAATTTCATAAATTTTGTAACTATAAACCCAAAAAAAAAATTCATTTATTTTCATTCATTTTTGCAAATTATTATGATTATTAAAGAAATAAAAATAAAAATAATTTTAATACTATTAAATATGTTTATATTTTTTGTTGTTAGTGTTAAAAATTGTCTCAAAAAAATTTAGTTTTGATTTTCATTTGTTGCAAAATTTATAAAAACCACACAAAAAATTCATAATCACAACAACCATACTAAATAGTCTTTAGTTGTTCAATTTTTTTTAAAATATCATTTAATGTGTTTATTCTTATTATACTCTTATTTTAAATAGATAATTATAGTATATATTAAATAAAAAATCTTATTTAAGTAGTAATTAATTAGAGATAAATACGTTTGCAAAAAAAATAAAGATAAATAAAAAATTCTATCAATTATATTATTACATTTTTATTTTATTAAATAAAAATACTAAAAAATTACTGAAGTTCAATAGAAGGACCATTATAATTGAAAATTTTTTGTAGGAGAAATATAAGGAGGAGTATTATAATGAAAATTTTTTTGTAGGAGAAATATAACTA